CCAGAAATTCTTAAGAGTCCATAATTTACAGTTACCTATCTTGAAACATGTCCATTTCAAAGGTGTCCTTGAAATGTGTTAACTGTTTCAGAGACAAAGCTCAAGCTAACTAAGTCATATCCCCCCATTTCACAGGAAACCAACATTTAAAAATAATAACTTCCTAAAATAATAATAATGCTAATAAATTCCCAACTATAAATTTGTCCAGGTATTTCACAAGGTATAAATTTAACCTTTCTAAACATGACAACAAAGATAAAAATTGTAAAGAAAAAGACCAAAGAGTTGGTTACGTGAAATGAAAACTTTCATACTCCAGGGGCGCCTGGGTGACTTAGTCGGTTGAGCGTCCGACTTTCGCTTAGGTCATGATCTCGCGGTTCGTGGGTTCCGGCCCCGCATCGGGCTCTGTGCTGACTGCCAGCTCAGAGCCTGGAGGCTGTTTCAGTCTGTGACTCCCTCTCTCTCTGACCCTCCCCTGCTCACGCTGTCTCTCTCTCTCCTAGAAATAAATAAAACATTAAAAAAAAAAAGAAAACTTTCATACTCCAAAAACTATCACAAAACTAAAAGGTAAGAGGAAAACTTAAAAAAAAAAATACTGGCAACATGGCAACATGTATGACCAATTTTTAAATATTATTTAATATCTAATAATATTTTATTAGAATATTAAATGCTAATATTCTGAAAATTAACAAAACATACACACCCCAATTTGTAGAAATTGCTCATTTCTACAAATGAGCAAAGAAGTACAAGTAACCCTTGAAAGAACATACACAAGCAGCCAAAAGAGCATACAGTTTTTAAAATACACAAACTCTCCAATAAATTCATGAATGCAAATTGAAATGAGATGCATTTTTCCTCTTTAAAATCAGCAGATTTTTTTTAAAGGACAATATCCAATGCTGGCAAGTTTGCAATAATATAAATACATATTCACCCTCCTGCTGGGAACGTAGACTGGTATAATCTTTCTTCCTAGAGAGTAATTTCCACAATTTGTACCAAAAGTCTTAAAAATATTTATATTCAGGGGGAATATAACTTCCCACTCCCTAAGTGTGGCTGCCCATCATACTTCCAAAGAGTATAGTAGAGAAATGGGATTGGGAAATAACTTCACAGTTGAGCAGTCTCACATACACCGCATCAGCCAGGTGATCAAGGTCAATATTGCCAGTTGTAAATCATGTTGATAGTATGTACTCTTGATATTATGTAATAAAAATGGCACATTACCTCTATGATCTTCCTCTCAAAACTCCATAACTCCAATCTAATCATGAGAAAAACATCAGACAAATCCCAGTTGAGGGACATCCAACAATTTGACCGTACTTCTCAAAACTGTCAAGGTCATCAAAAACAAGGCAGGCTGTGAGAAACTGTCATAGTCAAGAGGAGCCTAAGAAGTCATGATGACTAAATGTCATTTGCTCTGGATGGAATCCTGAAACAGACAATAGGTAAAAACTAAGGAATTAAGTGTGGGCTTTAGCTAATAATTATGATTGACTCAATAATTATAATAAATATACCACACTAATGTAAGATGGTATTATAGGAGAAATTGTGTAAATGGGGAGTATATGAGAACACTCACCTCAATTTTTCTGGAAACTTAAAACTATTCTAGAGAAATTAAGTCAATTAAGTTATTTTAATGTTTACATTCTTTGGCTAGGCAATTCCATATCCAGAATCTATCCTTAGGAAATAATCACAAATGTGGTCCAAGATTTACCTACAAGGATATTTCAGGGGCACCTGGGTGGCTCAGTCAGTTGAGCATCTGACTCTTAATTTCAGCTCAGGTCATGATCCCAGTATGGTGGGATCGATCCCCATGTCAGGCTTCATGCTAAGCATAGAGTCTGCTTGGGATTCTCTCTCTCTCTCTTTCTCTCTCTTCTTCTTCTTCTTCTTCTTCTTCTTCTTCTTCTTCTTCTTCTTCTTCTTCTTCTTCTTCTTGTTCTTCTTCTTCTTCTCTCTTTTCCCCTCTCCTCTGTTCTCTCTCTCTCTCTTTCCATCTCTCTCTCAAATAGAAAGAACTGAAATATGCAAAGAACTACAGCCTGAGAGTTGGCCAGACCTGAGGTGTAAGTTCCCATCTCATCACTTTCAAGATGTTTGTCTTTGCTAGGTATGGACTTCTCAGACAAACCCTGTACATTTGATCACCCTTTTCTCCATCCACCTATACCATAAGGTAGTCATGTGATTATGTCTATATGCATTTCTGTGAAGGTCTTCTCTCTGAGAAATATCTGCATGGAGGAAGAAGAATTAGCAAATTCATAAACTGTGCTGTGATTTATACTTAGGGACTCTACTATTTATCTTTTTGTTAAAGAGGTTATTGACTTGATTATATACAACATGGCTTTTCCCATTAAATCCTTTGAAACAGAGTAACTCGGAAAATGTTTATAATGTATTTTTAGTGAACAAAGATAATATAATGGCATGTACAATGTGATTAGCAGCTGTGCAAAATATATATACAAGTAGAAGAAAAGAGTGGAAGGTAATAGGCAAAAATAAAAATTACAATGCTTGTGAAATGCAAGCATGTTTATGAAATGAGAACATTTTTGCTGAAATCAACACCTCTTACTTTAAAATATCTCTAAGAATAGAAGTTCAATACTGTCGTCCTCTGGTAGCAACTTTAGTCAGTAGTTAATATGAAGTTATTTTACATGTTCAATTCTCTGCCCCAGCCAGCACTCTGGCTAGCTAGCGTACTAGGAGGTGAACCAGCTGAGGGACACAGACCTGGAGTCTGGGCTGAGTTCAGAGGTGGTGGAGCATGAGAACTCCTGTGGGATCTAGAATTTAGAGCTAGAGGTTATCTGAAAGTCCTCACCCAGGGACAAAATTAAAATCAATGACTATCCAGCCAAGTCATCAATCCAAAGGGATTAGTCTGAGACAGAGAAGGTTTGGAAAGGGAACCTGGAGGACTTCTTTGGGCCACAAAGCAAATCTGAAGTCACTTCTTGCAGACTCCTGCAAGTCTCCTCCTGGTGGGGCCAGAATCTGAGCATGTTACTGAAATGTCCAACATGAGATGAACCACCAATCCCAAGTGAAGCTTGAAATGCAGATATCTTACCCCAAAAAATGTAGTAGGAATAACACTGGCTTTGGAACCAGAGAGACCAGGGTCCAAGTCCCACATCAGCTGTATGCCAGTTATATGACTTGAACAAGTTATCTAAACATTTTCAGCCTCTGTTTCCTCATCTGGAAACATAGGTGTGGCAGAAGAGACTACTTGGCTACCAAAAGTTGGGGTTCCCCTTCCATAGTAAAGAGATGTTGCTGAAAAGTAGTTGTCCTGCCAGGGATTGATTATGTTTTCCCGCCCATCTGCATCTAAGTGAGACCATGTGACAAGTCCTAGACTTTAAAATGTGAGCAGCAATGATGGGTGTCAACTCTGAGCAAAGATGGTTGGGTATCTGGTATGCCTTCCCCACACTCTTCCCCCTCTGCCTTGGAGGTCATATATTGAAACTGTTGATGTTTCAGTGTGGAAAGGCCCCAGATCTCGACCTGAAGGAGAGGTATTTAAGACAATAATTCAACTGAGAACTTCTACATTAGCATTGTGTGGGCAGTAATAACACTTCATGAGCTGTCACTGAGATTTGGGGGTTATTTGTTATAGGCTAGAATTAAGTCTCTTGCAATAAAACACCTTCTCTTATCATGTAAAAAAATGGATGAATTTTGGCCAAATTTGGAGAGTATATTTAACATACTTTGGTTCCAAATATAGGCTACATAGTATAAACGAAATTTATTTTTGTGGATCTTCCGAGACATCTCAAAGAGTTCAGCAGTCCATCTCCAGGGGCACTGTAACATATCTGTGAAAATACTGATTAAGACAATAAGCCATCATATGAAGATCTGGTGAAAACAGGGTTTCTAATGTGATCACCAAATCCGAAGCCACTTAGGCAGACACTTGAGTGTCACATGGTAATTTCTGATAGAATTGTTTATCACATGAGCAACTCTGGATGGATTGCACTATATATATATATATATATATATATATATAAATGTTTATTTCTGAGAGAGAGAGTGTGTGTGTGTGTGAGCAGTACAGAGAGAGGGGAGACAGAATCTGAGAGGGGGACTCCAGGCTCTGAGCTGTCAGCACAGAGCCCAAGGCGGGGCTCGAACTCAAGAACCATGAGATCGCGACCTGAGCTGAAGTCAGATGGCTTAACCGACTAAGCCACCCAGGCACCCGGCATTAACATATGTAACAGTAGCCAGATTAAATTTTTAATGGTGGGTAATGATTCTCCTCAACAAAGCAGGGGAGGAAAAATGATGTATGTAAAGATCCTAACCTGCTCCTGGAACACAAACATTAGCACCTTTCTTCTGACAGCTCGCTACAATATATGCATATTGCCTGTTTATCCCACATCTGGATCAGGGAATTATTTGCAAAGAGCATCCCTTTAGAACTGAAGAACCAAATATTCCCAAGGTCTTGGGTAGTGGGAAATTTTTCTTAGCTTTTAAGGTTTAGAGAGCTCATTGGTGACTATGATAGAACTTGAGAAATGAGACATCTTATCAGATCACTTAAATGACCTACAGTATTGGCTCAAAATTGATGCCACATTAGAATCATCTTTTACTGATCAATTAATTCAAATCCATGTGATTTTAAAAATGAGGTAGAATTTATTTAGCATGCTGAAAGGTAAGAATGAGCCTTGGTAAACTAATGCTTATTGTACATAGTTATGTTTTGGATGTCATGAATTGACCTATGAATGGTATGTCCAGATTTTTATGTGTGTGTGACCTCTTGAATGCGCAGCCTAATTTTTCTTTCCTTGCGTGTGAACTGTACTTAGTGACTGGCTTCCAAAGAAAAAAATGTGAGGAAAGTGAAAGCATATGACTTCTGAGACAAGGATAAAGTGACCTCATTCTTGTTCTTTCTTGAACAGCTCATTCTAGGGAAATCCAGCTGCCATGTTGTGAATACATTGAAGCAGGCTTATGGAGAGATCACATGATGAGGAACTGAGGCCTCCTGCAAACATCAAGCAAAGAATTGATACTTTCTGTCAATGTCATGTTCATGACCCTTGGAGGCAAGTCAACCAGCCCCACTCAAGCCTTCTGATGACTAACCCTGGTTAATGTCTTGACTACAACCTCATGCAGGATCCTTAGTCAGAACTACCACTTGATCTGCTCCCAAATTCCTGGCCTACAAGAACAGAGTGTTTCATAGTTAGATGATGTTTACTATGGTAAGCTGCTAAATTTTGAGGTAATTTATTGTGTAGCAATAGGCAACTAATACAGGGGCTCTTTACCAAGATCAAGGGCCTTATAGCTGGGATTCTCTTAGACTCAAAGTAAACCATACAGTACTGCATTTTAGGTGTGTGTGTGTGTGTTAACATACAAAAAGTGCACAACTTAAGTGTACAACTCAAGGAATTTGTACATATATATATGTAACCACTACCCAGGCCACAATTTCCAGTACTCTAAGAAATCCACTTAGAAAGTGGGTGATGGGCATTGAGGAGGGCACTTGTTGGGATGAGTATTGAGTATTGTATGGAAACCAATTTGATAATAAATTATATATGAAAAAGAAAAGAAATCCTCTCATGTCCATATCCAGTTAATAACTCTTCCCAGAGGTAGCCACTTTTCTGAGTTCTAGAACTATAGATTGTTTTGCCTATTATTGAACTTTATATAAATGGAATCATTCTGTATATACTCCTTTATGTCTGGCGGCTTTCACTCAGCATAATAATTTTTAAATTTATATTGTTACATGTTTCAATTGGTTTTTCCTTTTATTGCCGGGAAACAGTCCACGTATAATTATGCTAAATTTACTTATTTCCCTATTGACAGATATTTGAATTCTTTCCAACCTGAGGTTATTATGAAGAAAGCTAATGGGAATATTCTTGTACTAATCCCTTTTGAGGACCTATGCATCCAATACTCTTGGGTAAATTCTTAGGAGTGGAATTTATGGGTCATAACATAGGCATATGTTTAACTGTCAAACAATTTTCCAGAGTAGTTGGGTCATCTTACATTTCTACACAAATTACTCAACATTATTCAAAGTAATTTTTTTCATTTAAAGCAAACTCAATCGAAAAGAAAGAAAAACAAAAGTTAGTCTTAATGAAAAATGAGTGGCAATGAATAAAGAGCTTCTTCAATTATTTAGAATAGTCAAGAAAACCATTCTACAAATTACAGAGCTATCCGACAGCTGACCCTGCAGGCAAATACTTTTATTTTGGTCATTGGTTCGGAAATAATTTTAGCCACTTGGATTAAAGGTTTTCATAAAGATGATTCAACCAGGGCCCCAAATCCCGAGAGGAGAAGAATATACACAAAGAACCCTTCAGATGAGCTTTCCACTCTGTTAAATGGAAGAAAGAAGAATTTTCCCACGTGGCACACTTGTTTACTGAGCCAGCCGAGCGACGTGACAAATGAAACAACTTCTTGATGCCTAACACAGCTCGCCCCCAGGCACTGAGTCAGCTTTGTGTTTCCCTTGAGTTCGCCAGCAAACAAATCAGATAACTTTATTAATTACGCACCCTGGGGCACAGGGCTGTGACAGGCTCAGGCTCTGCACACAGCCCCAGTAGCCAGTCTCCAGCTTGCTCACGGCACAGGAGGTGTTTATACATGCCTTCCGGTTCTGAAACCATACTGACGCCCACAGTAGTGTTTTCATCGGTTGTACGGGGCTCTATAAGAAACACTGAAAACTGTAAAGCCAGAATATCAACTCCAATCTCAGCAACTGTGGGTGATGCTCAATGCAGTCTTTTTTTTTCTCTATTAGGAAAATTAAAAATTGGCAACCAGCAAAATGTCCAGAAATGAGAAATGGTTAAATAAAAGGCCCTCTTCCTATTGCAGATGGTGGGAATTTTTGTGTATTTAAGAGCAAGGAAATGACATGATGAAACCTTGGGAAAATCCTGAGGTGGCAGTGTGCTGAGCAAAGGGCCCTTCTGCACACACAGAATGGCCAAAAACCCAGATCTGGGGGCTATAAGCCCACCAATAGGCAGTTATTTCCAGATAATTCAGGAAAGTTGGGACTTGGTCCCAGACAAATTAATGAATTTTCGTATGACTTTTGTTATCATAAGTGGTTTAGATGCCAGGGGGAAAGGAATAAGGAATCCTTATCCTTTTCTTTCTTTCTTTCTTTCTTTCTTTCTTTCTTTCTTTCTTTCTTTCTTTCTTTCTTTCTTTCCAATTTACCACTGGCCAGGCACTGCATCAAGTACTTACCAAGCATTAATTGACTTAATCCCCACAACAGCTCCATGAAGTAGGTACCATTCCAAAGATGAGTTCTGTCTCAAGGAAGTTAAATAAGTTTGGAAGCTCCCCCAACTAAAAGAAGAAGGAGCAGGATCTAAACCCAAGTCTTTCTACTTGCTCTAGACTGCTGATAGTTTTTAAAAGTTTAAGAGGAGTTTAAAGATGGGCAACTGCTACCCTTCGCTATGGACAAGAGCTCCATGTTCAAACTGCCTAGAAGCTATGCTTACAAAGGAAAATAGGGTGCCTGGGTGGCTCAGTCGGTTGGGAGTCCGACTTCGGCTCAGGTCATGATCTCACGGTTCATGGGTTCAAGCCCTGCATCGGGCTCTGTCCTGACAGCTAGCTCAGAGCCTGGAGCCTGTTTTGGATGCTGTGTCTCCCTCTCTCTCTGACCCTCCCCTTCTCACGCTGTCTCTCTCTCTCCCTCTCAGAAATAAATAAAACGTTAAAAAAAAAAAAAGGAAAATATATTTTTCCCTTATGTTCTCTCCCTAATGACCAAATTGCTCCCCACTACCCAGGGCTGGCTCATTTTCCTATGAGAAAGATTTCATTAAAAGCCTTTTCAGGGCACCTGGGTGGCTCAGTCGGTTGGGCAGCCAACCTTGGCTCAGGTCATGATCTCACAGTTCGTGGGTTCGAGCCCCACGTTGGGCTCTGTGCTGACAGCTTAGAGCCTGGAGCCTGTTTCAGATTCTGTGTCTCCCTCTCTCTCTGGCCCTCCCATTCTCACGCTGTCTCTCTCTCTCTCTCTCAGAAATAAAATGTTAAAAACAATATTAAAAAAAAAAAAAAAAAAGCCTTTTCTGTGAGAGCCCCTCTGCTCCACCTGGACCAGGCTTGAGTTCTACATGGCAGTGAGTTTCTCTGCTTTCCCCTCCAAATCAGGAAAGACTTCTTACCTGCTATCAAACTCTCTTTTCTAGTATAAAGGAAGCCACTTCACCTTCTTTATTCAATGTCTTATTTAGAGAAGTGTCCTAGCACTAGAGCCAGGGTATTTTTATAAGCCCCACAAACAACAATGTATTGTTCCAATTACTGTCTATTGTGTGTTTTGGGGTCTCCTTGATAATAGCAGGTTGGAGCACACTCGGCTGGTTTGCCCTTATTAAACTGTGAAGGTCACTTCTCTGCCAGGATCTGTAGCCGGCAAGCCCTCCCTTCTCTTCCACAAATGTGTCTCTTCCAGAGCTTTTTGCAATTATGGCTCATTTCTCTAGGTTTCATATGGCAGGCGTCTGAACAGAATTAAAAGCATAAGCACGTGCAAAAATAATCCGCTTCCCAAGATAGCAAATGCTGAGAAGTTCTATATTAGAACACACTGTGAGTGCTGACTGGCTAGGGCATGATTAACCTAATAGGCTTAAAGTTCCACTTGCCATCCACATCTGTCAGGACACGGGCTGAAGCAGGCCCATAATCCACGAGACTGCGGTCCTTCAGAATTGCCTGTTGCTCACTAACAGCAGAGGGTTCGAGACTTAGAACAACAACACAGCAGTCACCACCGCCTCTTCATGGTGGGGCCAAGGGAGTAAAGAAAACTGGCTCCAAGGACTCGGCACCATGGACTTCAGAGGATTCTGGCCTGGAAACTGCCCGGACAGATTAGTAAGGCTGACTTTTGTTCCTATTTCAAATATGATTCTCTGAAACCTGTGAAGAGCATTGCGGGGGGCAGGGAGATGACTGCAAGCTGAAATCATGGGGTGCACACCTTCCCACAATGACATTGTTAACAGCGTCGCTAAGAGTGGCATCCAGTTTTTCAAAAAGCCCAAAGCAATTTTGCCGGGACGTCAGGGGGGCGGTGAAAGATGCTCTATCCCTCTGCTGCTCCCCACCTCCACCTGCTATGACTCTGGGGGAGGCTTGTCCCAGGGACAGAGGCTGGCAGAGGAACAGCCAAGGTCCAGGCAGACCCAAAGCCCAGCCGAAGGTCTTTATCAGCTCACAAGAGATCCCACTGCAGGCAAAGGGAAAGATATGGAAGGACTACCCCCCAAAACCAAAACCTCCCAATCCCACCTGGCCAAATCACAAAGCCACATGGCTAAGGACATTCCATCCAAGACACAGAGTTCCCACGGGTCACAAAGGGCAGCCTTCTCTGGAGAAAAAAGTGAAGAAAGTAATACCCAGGAAAGGAAGCTGAGTTGCCACACATGTGGCCAACAGGGCCATTGCTGCCAAAACAATGTTCCTGCTCATGAGCCTGAAGGCAAAGTGGACTTTCCTGAGCCCCTGGTGAAAGCCCACCAGCACACCTACACCTACCTACACTCCTGCCTCTCCAAATATGAAGCAATTCTGTGCATCACCCATCAGGCCACCCAGACCCAAGAGCTGCTGCAGCCTATGGTCAGCTTCCTGCTGCTGTGTTTTGATGAGGTCAACCGGCTCTTGGGGGAGATCTGCAAGGATGGAGAAGTGCTCCTCCATGAAGTTAGGGAGGATCTGGCTTGGCCGTTGAGGAAAGGAAAGCCCCAGGAGCAACCAGATCTCCTGCAACAGCTTCTGCAGCACACAGTGAGCAAGCTGCTGGCTCTCAGGGGCACGGTGGCCTCAGTCACAGGCAGCTTCCTGGAGAGCTCCAGCAGTTACCTCCATGCCACAGCAAGCCACATGGAAAAGAAGCTGAGCACAAAGAGGGGTATGGATGAATGTCTCCTGCGGGCTCTGGGGCAACTGGAGAGCTTGGCGAGTGGCCACAGCGACCCTGGGATGCGGGGTCTGCCCCTGTGCTCTGAGGACAGTGGTATTGGTGCTGACAATGAGTCTGTGCAGCTGGCCGACAAGCTGGGCAAGCAGGCCAGCTGGGACTCGGTGGCGGAGCCCACAGAATGGAAACCGGCGTTTCCATCCACAGTGGAAGCCAGGCTATCAGGATATGCCTGGCAGCAAAGTCCTTTCCAGATGGGTTCAGACCGACCCCAGGACTGCCCACTCTCAAGGCCTCCTGTGGCGAAGGTTCAGCCAGCGGCACAAGGCAGAGCCGGTGGCCCAGGCCCCTCCAGCACAGGCCCAGGAAACGCCACCTCCAGCCCCCTGAGGGTGGCCAAAAGCACCCAGCGTGATTCCCTTGGGATTGGGTTCTCCAGGAAAGCACATTTTTCTAAAGGCTCCAGGCTGATGGGCACACCTTCCCTCAGTGATGGTGAGGACAGCAGCCCAGAGGAGGAGGA